TGGAGCACCTCCTCCCTCTCCTTCTGCCTTGACCTAGATGTCTGCAGGGCTTTCTCTCACTTCTCTCAGAGATGCTGCTCAGCTTTGGCCAGCAGCAGGTCCTACTTGGAGCTGACTCTGCCCACCAAGAGGGCAGCTCCTGGTGTCTCCTCACAGAAACCCCTCTCCTGCTCCCACAGCTTTGCCGTGCAAGCCCAAATCAGCTGTCACAAGAAGGCACCTGGATTCTCTGGAAACCCTGCTGAGGACAGCATGTAGGTGCTGAACAGTGGTGGTGAGGTGCTACAGGACACAACCCCTGGCACCACCACGTGGAGCTGCCACCCTGGCACTGCACTGGGCGTAGTCCCAGCTCCTGAGAGAGGGTGCAGCACTCTCAGGGGCTGCAGAGGTGCCTGGGGTTGGTGGGCAGGAGAGCAGCTTTGCAGGGACCACTTTGGGCTTCCCAGAGTGTCACAAGAAGTTGCCCACGAGGCAGCAAGATGTCCTTGCTCAGGTAGGGGCAGCCTGAGCTGCATTAGGCAGGTGGAGGGAGGTGTTCCTTCTCCTCTGCTCTCTGATGAGACACTGCTGGAACACTGGGTCCAATTCCAGACCACAGTTGCTGAACTGAATCACTGCTGGGCATGGGAATCTGACCCTCCTTAATGCCCTTCCTGCAAGGCACCTCCTCCAGCTTTCCATCTTTCCCTGTCTTTCACTGCTAAGTGCCACTAAATACTGTTAGGTCTCCTGGGTTTAGATGCATTTCCTAAGCCCAGCAGCCAGAAATTGTTCTTGTCTCTCTTCTACAGTGATTAACCATCATTTTCTTTCTTTTCAAGGAATGAAGAAGCTGCTGAGGCAGGTGTTGTGCCCAAAAACCAGTCACACGTTGAAAACATATTCATTTACTTACAGAATAACATCACCTAGAGTAGCATTCATGGAAAGAAAAACTTCTGAATCACAGCTGGCCAGAAATCTGATGTTTTTCCAGGTTCTGACTTAAACAGGTAATATAACCCAGTCTTAAAAATACCTCTATTTCTTCAGGCTCAGAGTGCAACACCCTTTTGTATCCATAGCTTCAAGCTGCCAAGCTTCTTGCTTCTGATGTTGGGTGATATTTTGCCTGTGGAGTCTGAACAAGGAAATATCATCTTCTTTGCACTCTGAGCTACTTTAAATAGTCACCTAAAATGGTGATAATGCCTTTATTTTATTTGGGATGTTTTGTTTTGGAGGATCTACATCTTTTTAGAGCAAAGGGGGAGTGGAGGGGGGGCTGCTTCCAGACTTCATCAAGTTGGGAGGCATTAAAAAACTCCCTCTTTAAAAGAATGAGACTCTCTGAAATACTTTTCAGCTGGCAGCAGCTTAGCAAAGCTTCTTGTCCCTTCCCCCCTCCCCAAAAATAACAGGTTTTCCACCAAATTTCTGCTCTGGAGGTAAATTCTCAATGCCTTTCAGCAGAGATCTGTGTTATGAGGGGTTGGCAGCTAGAGATGCAGAAGCAGCTGACTCAGGCAGATGCTGCCTGTTCAGAGCCTCCCTTGGGGGTTGCCAGCCCTGCTCCAGGATGTCTGAATGTGATGTGCTGTTGTTTCTGAACTGCTGCAGTCTGCAATCCACTTGCATTCAAAGCCCCCCTGCAATTAGCAAGGGTTTAATGAAGTTGGTGGTAAATTGTTGTTGTTTGAGAGGTGCTTTTGAGATGTTGCTCAGAAGAGAGGCAGGAGAGCAGCAGACACTGTCCTTAGACTCAGGCATCCTGATTTCCACTGCCTCAGTGTGCAGAAAAGGTCACTCAGTGCTGTTCAAATGCTACATAAGTACAACCAGCATAGCTACATGAAGAAGAATTTATAGTTTGGCTTCTTTTTCTTTTTGTTTAGGGCATGGTGGCCTGAAAAAGGTCATCTGGAAGGAGGTTGTAACTGAAAGGAGGCTGGAGCCAGGTGGGGGTCAGTCTCTTCTCCCAAGGAACAAGTGATAGGACAAGAGGAAAGGCCTTAAGTTGCACCAAGGGAGGTTTAAGTTGGATTATTAGGAAAATTTTCTTCCCCAAAAGTGTTGTCCAGGGCTGTGCCAGGCTGCCCAGGGCAGTGGTGGAGTCCCCATCCCTGGAGGGGTTTCCAAGCTGTGGAGATGTGGTGTGAGGGACACAGGGCAGTGGTGACCTGGCAGTGCTGGGTTAATTGTTGGACTTGATGATCTTAAAGGTCTCTTCCAACCAAAACGATTCTGTAATTCCACGACTGACACCTTCAACTTCAACCTTCTTCTTACCATGCTAAAATGTCCCTGAGCAGTGTGCTTTTTCTTTTCAGTGTGCCTCCTCTGTGGAGATCTCATGGGCTTTCAAGGGCTATGTAGACTTGGAAGAGAAAAATCTGCTCAGGTATTTGCTGTCCTCCCTCTAGTGGCTGTTCCCTCAGAGCAGAAATAGAGCTGTGCTGAAAACTCCATGGTTAAGTATGTGCATTAACTGTTATATGAAGATGAAAGGAAGTAAACCTGGGAAAAAAAGACTTGTCCCATATCAAAATAAGACACAGAATTACTGAGTTGTTGCCAAAGCTCAGTCACTGCTCTTTCAGTCCTGAAAATGTTTCTTAGAATCATTAAGGATGAAAAAGACCTTTCAAATCAAGTCCAGCCATCCCCCAACACTACCATGACCATTACACCATGTCCCCAAGTGCCATATTTACATGTTTTTTGAACCCCTCCAGGGATGGTGACCTCAGCATCTTCCCAGTTCCTTCCCCATTTTCCATCTCTCCACAGACTCACAGTTTAAGGGCACTGCTGGGCAAAAATCTTCATGGAGAGAGGGGTTTTTTTCATGTTTCCAGTTCTGTGAGTTGGCCAAGTGAGACAAATATAGAAGTGCCTGTTTTTCAGACATGGAGAAGAGCTCCTGTGCCTGAAAGCTTATTTGTTTGGTTTTTTTTTTTCAACCAAACCTGCTGATTTAATAAAAAATGCTGTTTTCTCTTACAAACCTTGTCCTGGCAAATATTTAAAGAGGTAAGAGCTGGGAAGTGCAGTGTCTTTCTTCCATTCCCAGTGCTTTCCTGTCAGTTCTCTGCAGGAAATATCAGTGTCTATGACAATCTGTACATACCACCAGCAGTTGTTACAGTCAGCAAGATCTCAAAAGACCTTAAAATCTCCTTGCTTTTTTGGCTTATCCAATATACACGCTTGTCTTTGAGACAGGAGAGATGCCAGAGTTCCATGGATCTGTGTTTTTAAACAGGAAAAAAATAGCAAGACAAAAAGTCAAGGTTGGAGAACAATGTGTTAAAAATGTCTCTTTTTTTTTTGGATCTTCTGTGCTTTGGCCTCCAGGTGTTACATGGAAGGTGAGGTTTGCAGGGCAAGTGAAACAAGCCAACCTGAGCTGCATCTACAGAACATCCTGAAGGAACTTGCCTCGTGAGTCTGTGCTTCTGGCAGAGTGGAAACTGAGGAATTAAGCCTCATGAGGAGTGGTTGAGGGACCTGGGGTTGTTCAGCCTGGAGAAAAGGAGGCTCAGGGGAGACCTTCTGGCTCTCCACAACTCCCTGAAAGAAGGTTGGAGCCAGGTCAGAGTTGGTTTCTTCTCCCAAGGAACAAGTGATAGAACAAGAGGAATCAGCCTCAAGTTGCTCCAGGGGAGGTTTAGGTTGGATATTAGGAAAAATGTCTTCCCCAAAAGGGTTGTCCAGGGCTGTCCCAGGCTGCCCAGGGCAGTGGTGGAGTCCCCACCCCTGGAGGGGTTTCCAAGCTGTGGAGATGTGGTGTGAGGGACATGGGTCAGTGGTGACCTGGCAGTGCTGGGTTAATAGTTGGTCTTGATCATCTTCAGGGTCTCTTCCAACCAAACCTATGATTCTGTGAAGAGCACTGCTGCTGTTCCCTTGACTGCTTTTATTGGTGTTGTAGGAAAATTGGGGTTTTCCTGGTTAAAAATACCAGTTTGGTTCCACCTGAACCTCACTCTGGGACAAGGTTCTGTGCCGGTGTCTCAGCTCCAGGCACTCCACAGTCGGGGGGTATGTCCTGAGCTCAAACTTGTTTGCAAACATAGAGGTGGAGTTAAAAAGCCACTTGAGGTCCCCTGTTCCATACACACAAATCCCTCGGACGTAACGGCCTGAGAAGAGAAAAAAACTGTCAGAATAAAGGATCTAAATCAGTCTTTTTTTGGAGAATTAGCTGCAGAGCCACTAGAAATCATCCCCCAGACAACAAGCATGCTAAAAGCTCTGCTGGATGTGCAATGGGAATAATATGAACAATAGGATAAAAGAAAGTTCCTTCAGAATAAATCATGAGCTAAATAAGGAGGATAATCCCAGGTAGTAACACTTCTTTTCTGAGCTTTCTCAGTTGAAACAGCAAAGGGGAATTTCCTCCTTATCAGTGCAGAGCAAATGATACCTTTACCCATACTAGATTTTCCACTAATTCTGGATGATTTCACTGTAGAAATGAAGATGTGAAACTGCTGGAATCAAAGCTGACTGAAGTTCTCCAGTTTTCTCCTCCACACAAACTGGTATGGACTAAGAATTCTTGAAAGAAAATGTCTGTAGCATTTTGATGTCCCACTTGGATATGTCAAAAGTAGTGACAGTAAGCAACATACAGACCAGGGACTGAAAAATTGTGTGCCACCCAGATCATCTACTGCTAATGTCACATCTTGAAGTAGCATGACTTGGGGAAACTCAAAGCTCACAGATTCTGATCTATTTTAGCAGAGGACTTTAGAGCCCTAATGGCTCAATGGTTGGACTTGATGATCTTGGAGGTCCCTTCCAACCTAAAGGATTCTATGATTCTATGATTGTCAGCCTGCAGCTCTTTAGGTTCCTTGTCAACCTTGGCTCTGGCAGTTTTTGGTGCCCAGCTGAGAGCTGGGATGGATCTGAGTTTACCCAGAACACCCAGCCCACTGCTCCCAGCTCTAGAGCATCTCCATCCCAATGTGGGACACGTGGACTGTTCCCACCCAGCTGTGAGAAAATTCCCCCAAGGCCTTCCAGAAAATAGTCAGCTAAATAATGTGAGCCCTAAGTGCTGCTAAATATCCCACTCTCCAAGGCTGATATGTCCTGTGCCCAGCAGGACTAGGGCAGGGATTTGTCCCCCTGTACTTGGCACTGGGGAGGCCACACCTCAAGCATTGGGTTCAGTTTTGGGCACCTCGCTTCAAAGAAGGACATTAAGCACTAGGACAAGATGAAATGGCCTCAGGTTGTGCCAGGGGAGGTTTAGGTTGGATATTAGGGAAAATTTCCTCCCCAAGAGGCTGCCCAGGGCAGTGGTGGAGTCCTCATGCCTAGAGGAATTTAAAAGCCATGGAGATGTGGTGCTGAGGGACATGGGTGAGTGGTGACCTGGCAGTGCTGGGTTAGTGGTTGGACTTGAGCTTAAAGGTCTCTTCTAACAAAAAAAGCTTGTCCTCCCTGCAATGAAGTGCTGCCTACAGGCTGTCTCACGTTGTGGCTGGAGGCTGTAGGTGTGCAAGTGGGGGGTTTTATCACTGTATGAACAGGAAGAAGAGCTGGAGGAACAATGTAGACATTACCATGGCAGCCTCCATGTCTCTCCTCCATGTCCATCCACTTCACCGCTCTCAGGTCACCTTCCCAGGAGGCACTGGGCATGGAGCCTGGGACACCTGCAGTTAGGGAACAGAAAATTTGAAAGCAAAGTAAGATTTTATTATGATTTGGGGTGTTTTTTTTTCCTCTTCCCTAGATGGCAACAAGTCCAGTATCTCTACAGCTACCACAACCCAACAGCTATGTTGCTTGTGAGCTTGAAGGAGAAACAAGTCTCTAAAGGCACTGTAGAATGTCAGGGGGCTTGGTGGTTGGTTTTTTTTTTGAGGAATTGGATGGTAAAAGGTTAAACATCAGGTTTTGGGTTTTTTTTTTCCCTGTTTTCTTGCTTTGCTGTGTGTTTTTAAGGACAGCTTGTTCCTGAGAAGTAAGGATGGTGGTTTGGAAATACTGAGTCAGATGCAGAAAGACCCAACAGCAGAACCACTAGAGCACTTTGCCATGAACAGAGAGATGTGGAAGCTACAAACAGAGCTTCAAGACTTTATTTCTCTCCCTCTGTATATTGGGCTGTTCCCAACTAAAATGACATTCCAAAAAAACCATGAGTGTGTCGTGAGGAAAATTCAGACAATGCGACTCCTCTGTGGCAAGCTGAAGAAAACACTTTATAGGAAATAAAAAGATGGCATGGGATGAATGCTTTCAGTGACCAGGGTTGAGTGTTAGCATCCCAAATTAAAAAGCTGATCCTAAGAGCTGGCAGTAAGCGTGGTGTGCGGAAGGACCTGGGAAATGCTGACAGGGTGGGAGAGCAGGAGGGTGACTGACAAAACAGGAACGACCCCGGGACATCCCCGAAAACCCTGCGAGGCACCAACCTTCCAGGAACACAAAACTACTGACTTCACACTATTCACCCTCTCCCAAATTGAGTGAACGAGGCGTTTTTGGAAGTTAATTAGAAGGAGGAAAAGTGTAGCTCAGCACCAGGGGGGAAAAGAAAAATGGATTTACCACATTTTCCTTTAAATATTTGTTTGCGCAACCAATTTCAGATTCAGAAGCTGTGCTAGGGTGGTGTTCTTGTTGGGTTTTGTTTGGAAAGTGGTGGTGATGCTGAAAAGCCTGAGGGCAAGTGGACAGCTGTCCCATTGGCCAGCCCTGACTTCTGGTGGTGGCCACCAGAACCCTTCTAGCTTCATCAGGAGCCCCACTCCTGGATACAAGGCTTCACGCCCAAGCTCATCCAGTTTTAGTCCCTTGCAGGTTCTCCAACAGCAAATTAGGTTGGTTTTATTTTCAGATTTTGTCCTCTTACAGAACTCAATAGGGAGATATCAAGGAGTTGAGCTGTGAGTGTTAGGAGGATGGAGAGAAGCTGAGGAGCAAATGTGGATAGGATGGAAATGGTCACCTCTTAACCCTCTACAGTGACAATAATTTGTCTGATGTGGTTTGAAAGACAGCACTTAAGAGAGGTTTGCTCTGAAATCCTGGTTTGTCTGTTGTTTGTCCTGTGAGACAAGTTCTGCCTGTCCAGGAGAGGGACCCAGATGGTAAAGATATAGGAGAGTCCTCAGAAGAAGAGATTTTCTTTCCAGATGAGATTGAAACAATGGAGAAAGAAAACAATGGAGAAAGAAACCCTCACCACCCCTCCTTAAAAATGTATAAAGGTTCAGTTTTGTAGTTTGTCACTCTAAATTTCCATTTCAGTGGGTATGTGAATGCAAAAATATGTATATGGAGGGGTGAGGGGTTGGCTAAAATAAACTCAGGATTGTCAAGCTTTAAAGCAGATGTCAGAACCTGGAGAGAAGGAAATAATAAAACTCAGAGGGGAAAAAAAAATAAATCTAATGTGAAACTACTTCTTTCAAGACAGTGGTTTGAATTGAGGCAGTGCCTGTCATCTTCTGGAGCCATCAGGCTGTTGACAGTCTTAAGACTGTCACACGTTGAGTGCTGGGTTCAGTTTTGGGCCACTCACTCCTAGAAGGACATTGTGGTGCTGGAGAATGTCCAAAGAAGAATAATGAAGCTGGTGAAAAGTCTAGAGAACAAGTCTGAGGAGCACCTGAGGGAGCTGGGGTGGTTCAGCCTGGAGAAAAGGAGGCTCAGGGGAGACCTTACTGCTCTCTACAGTCCCCATCCCTGGAGGGGTTTCAAAGCCATGGAAATGTGGTGCTGAGGGATGTGGGTCAGTGAGGACCTGGCAGTGCTGGGTTGGATGGTTGATCCAGTGGGACTTGATGGTCTTAAAAGTCTCTTCCAACCAAAGTGATTCTATGATTCTAAGAGAGCTAAACTGCACCTTCTGTGTTGAATCATCTGATGGATAATAAGGAAAGTGCCTCAGTTTGAGTAGCTTCATTGGATGATACATTTTGAAAGAGGTTTTCCTGAGCTGTTATTGACCCATAAACTAACTCTAGTGTCTTTGGCAAGGTTGCAATCCTGCATCAGAGGAGATGAACTCTCCAGAGCTGTTGAGGAGACACCCCTCTCCTGCAGTGGGAGTGAGCTGGACCTGTGGGAACATGCTGGGTGCTGAGGACTGCTGAGGGGAGAGCTGCTCTTCAGGAACTACCAGTGCCCACCCTGGCACCCATTGAGGTGATGCACAGCATCAGGGTCTGTCTCTCAACACTCGTAAGGCAGCTTTAGGAGTGGTCAGATGAATTTGCTCGTAGGTGAAAGGAGGGGACAGGTTCAGATGGCCTGACTGGAGTTCCCCCCTAACAGAAACAAGGGCTGTTGGCAGCTCAGCAGCTGGGAGTGTCAGGAAAAGTCTCTGCTTCAGCTGCAGAGGTCACACTGAAGTGTGGTAGGGTGCAGGCATGAGTTGTGGCACATTCCTAATGCCAGAATTTAGAAAGGAAAAATTCCTTCCACAGATTACTCTCCAACTCAGTTCTTCAAGGAGTTGAGCTCTCTGAAGCCTCCTACACTTGTGTCTGAGAGTTGTGTTCCTCTGCTTGGTTCTTCTTTATTTTCACAAGCTCATTTATTAGCTGTGGCTTTCCAGAAAGACTTCTTGAAGCCATACCCTTCCTTATCCCATCATCAGCAAGCCATGGGAGAAGTGAGCAATGGGTTGTGAAGCAAAGCATTGCCCTTACTGAAAGCAGTGTTTAAATACCAGTGGCTGTGGACTGCACAGAGATCAAACCTGGTTTAAGTTGGTTCTTAGGTGAACTATAATATCTGAATGGTGGATAGAGGACAAGAGTAAATTTCCAGGAAATTCTGCTGTGAAGAAGGTGGTTTTGTGATTGCTGGGGCTGTGTTGCCACACCTTCCCTTAAGCAGGTTTCTCAGAAGAGGAAGGTTTTGATGATGAGTTTACAGGAGCTTTGCAGCCACGAGGCTCAGTAACAGTCACAGGAAAATCCCTATTATTTTTTTAATGCCTTATTCCTCTGAGAAGTTCTTGCTCAATCAGGAAGTCTCATTGAAATAAAGGGGAATATCAAGAAGAGAAGAAGGATTAATTGTGAGTAATGCTGCAGACAGAGGTATAAAATACTTTCACTTTCTAGAATGTGGCTTATTCAACCAGCATCACCAGAACCACATTAAAAAGCTTCTGATTGATTAATCTGCTAGCAGTGCTGCTCAGAATTTTCTGGTGTTCCTCTTGTATCTCACACCCACGTCCAAGGGATGGGAAAGAGAGATTCCTTGAAAGCCACTAGCTCTTGAGGTCATAAAGCTACTGATCAGTGAAATTTGAGCAAGGACAACTCCCATCTCTCTTGAGAGCTCACTAGCTTGTCTCACAGCATTGCCCACCACATGCCTGCTATTACCTGAGACCCACTGTGTGCCACCAGCCTTCCTTCCTTACTGTAAAGATGACAGCAACCAGCTTCCTGGACAGGTCAGCTAGCTACAAATAATATCTACTGGTGGTTGTACCATGACTATCTTGATCAGTAATTATTTGTGCATCTTGCAAGAAAATTTTGGAAGATGCTTCCAAAAGCCATCTGCATGGAGGAGAAGTCTTGTGCATCTTCTGACCCTTTCCCAGTCGTATGAACAAGGCAAAACTTCAGGTGAAGATGCAAATACTGGCTCTGAATCTGTTTCTCTGAACGAATCCTTGCCCCATGCAATGGATTTTAGGGAGTAGTTAGGAGTACGTGGGGGTTTTGCAGGTGCTATGGGAGTGTGTGCACACAGAAGAGCACGTGAAGAAGAAGAAGAAGAAGAAGAGCACCAGAAGAAGATTCTAGCCTGAACTCAATTTTTTTGGCTCTGAAGGAATAGATAGAGAGGGAAGAATTGACTTCTATTTGTGGAAAAATAAAATTCCCCTCCAGCAAAATGAAATCTTGTAGAAAACACCTTCACTACAATGCTTGCATAGTTTACATATTTAAATCTTTATTCACTCTCTTTTCTTCATCTCATTTTTTGCAGGTAAAAGGCCTAAATCAGCTGAAATATCCAAAGATTTCAGTCTGAGCTTGGATCCCCTGGGCTTCTGCTCAGATACAGGACAATAATGCACACCCTGCACGGTGCAGTCACCTCTCCCTCAGTGGTCAGAAAGGGCAAGTGAAGCTTGTGTGCTAGATCACTCTTTTAGAGTCATGGAATCACTCTGGTTGGAAGAGACCTTCAAAATCATCAAGTCCAACCTTTAACCCAGCACTGCCAGGTCCCCACTGAACCGTGTCCCTCAGCACCACATCTCCATGGCTTTGAAATCCCTCCAGGGATGGGGACTCCACCACTGCCCTGGGCAGCCTGGGACAGGGCTTGACAACCCTTTTGGGAAAGAAATTTTTCCTAATATCCAACCTAACCCTCCTGTGATGCAACTTGAGGCCATTTCCTCTTGTCCTATTGCTTGTTATTTTGGAGAAGAGCCCAACCCCCACCTGGCTCCAGGCTCCTGTCAGGAGCTGTGCAGAGCCAGAAGGTCTCCCCTGAGCCTCCTTTGCTCCAGGCTCGGCACCCCCAGCTCCCTCAGCTGCTCCTCACCACACTTGTGCTCTAGACCCTCCACCACCTTCGTTACCCTTCTCTGGCCACGCTCCAGCCCCTCAACATCCTCCTTGGAGTGAGGTGCTCAAAACTGAACCCAGGGTTTGAGGTGTGGCCTCCCCACCTCCCTGCCCTAGTCAGATCCAAGCCAGGTATGATCTGATGAAATTTTTCCCCTAGCTCTTGTCAGAATCCAGCTTTGTGCACACACGTGTGTGCCTACAGAAAGCAAACGTGCAGGTGGCCTCACCTGGGATCCTGTTGAGCGTCACCCAGAAGTGCTCATCAGGGCTGTAGGTGTCCTCAGACCAGGCCAGGAGATCGAGGGCACGTCGGTCCTGCAAAACAAACCCCACGAAGGGCCGAGCCACGGCCACGTAGGCCGAGCCAAAGTAGATGGTCAGGTTGTGTGGTGGAGGTGCCTTCAGCACCCATGTCCCCAACATGAAGGAAAAGAAGGGGTACAGCTGCTCCCTGTGCACGTATTTGGTGCGGGAGGTGATGTGGGGAGGTTGCAACACCCCCGGGGTGATGTTCTTCCCCCCGAGGCCCTTCAGGAGCTGGACGATCTCCCGGTTGGTTTTCAAGGGGAAGTCCTGGCCGCAGGTGTTGAGCAGGTAACGCCAGGGCACAGTGGAGGCCAGAAGGTCTCTCATGCAGCGGAGGTCGGCCCGTAGGCGGGAGACGCCGCCGTAGACCACCCGCTCGGCCCCGGAGGACAGGAAGGCGTTGGGGAAGCACCTCAGCAGGTCCTTCACCTCCTGATGGAAGAGGGCTGGCGCCTTCGCGTCCACGTGGACGCAGTAGATGTTCTGGGGCATGTACACTGCCCTGAAGAGCCTCTCGAAGGTCTCGAACTCCTTGTGCAGGGTCATGACGTAGGCGATGGGGAAAGCGGCTTCCTCGCGGCCCCGGAGGCCAGGAAGGCGTTGGGGAAGCACCTCAGCAGGTCCTTCACCTCCTGATGGAAGAGGGCTGGCGCCTTGGCGTCCACGTGGACGCAGTAGATGTTCTGGGGCATGTACACTGCCCTGAAGAGCCTCTCGAAGGTCTCGAACTCCTTGTGCAGGGTCATGACGTAGGCGATGGGGAAAGCGGCTTCCTCGGCGGAGAGGGGGCGGGTGATGTAGTGGTTCTGGGAGATGTACTCCGTGCAGCTGGATCCTCTGAGGGATGTTTCCAAAGCGTTTTGCTTCAGGAAGGACTCCTTGTCTTCAACCAGTGCTTGACAGGCTTCTTCTAGCGTCGAAGTCAGCGAGAAGTTCGACCTCCTACGGGATCGTTCCGCGTGGAACTCAACGGCGTAGAAAACAAATGGAAGTGGAACACTCAGAACCAGGAGAGCAAAGAAGCAAAACCTGAGTGTATTCATTGCTGCTCAGGAGAAGAGTCACACTTGAAACATCACAGAGAGGTCAGATCAGGCACCAGAAACCTCTCGGTTTTGCTGGCTGGACGTGGCTTTCTGATGGATGTTGTACGTGTCCCTCTGGTGCACAGAATGCAGCTGCTGTCCTGACTTTCAACTTTAATACTTCTGGAGTCATCGTTGATGTGGAAACAGCAGAGGCAGTAGATGACTGGCAGATGGAATCTGCTCCACAGCACCCTGAAGATTAAACAGGCACGTTGCATAATTACTAGCTTGGCAACAAACAGCCAACACCACACACTTCACCGTGCCCCTGCAGTCCATTTATGGCTCTGTTCTCAGCTGCTCCCTCCCCACTCTCCCTGCGTGTGTCCTATTGTGGCAGGTACAACCCCCTTCCACTGGCAAACAAACCCCTCAGAGGTCTGTGCCTGGACTTGCCCCTCAGACAATTAGAATGACCACAACTCCCCCTCGACTGGGGTACAAATGGGGCACCGCCTAAGAACCTGTTGAGCTGGTTCTTTGCAGAGCTGCAGGCCTGGCAGTTGCAGCCTCTCCTTGGACACCCTGTCCAAGGAGATTTCCAGGGCTTGAGCCTCTGTGGATTGTGTGAGCCTTGCCCCCCCCTTCTGCTGAGTGGTGTCTTGGGCTCTCTCCTGTGGGAGGTTTCCTCTCTGTGCATGAGCGTGGCCCATTTTGGTTCATCTTTCCTTCAATTACTTGTGTAGTGGATACCTTCCCAGCAGACATCCAGATTTGTTTGATTTTTGGCAGAAGAAGAGCTGGGAATAAACCCCCACTGGTGACAATAAACCCCCACTTTGTGATAGTAGCAGCTGTCTTGGTTTGTGGGTGCCACCGTGACACACAGAGCTGTAAATCTTCCTAGGAAAACCTCACATTTACCCCTTGGATAATTCTGTTTCCTTACTTACAGGAGCTGGTTTTTTTTAAACTACCCAACTATATCAGTGATCACAGCTCCAGAATGATGAAAGGTTTGTTCAGCACGTCGTGCTACCACACAAGGCCACCAGCACTCAGGATCTTTTTTGCCTCTGTGTAGAGTTATATCAAACCCCTCAGATTATTGCAGCGACCTGTTCTTCATTTGTAAATTTGAGACCTGCCAGATTTTTTTCTGCTGAGTGTCATGGATGAGGTGCAACGAGCTCCAGGCTTCCATCCATCACAAGAAAGTGGGTTAGTGAAACTTGCTATTTAAACTACTTAAGGTAACCTTGGGCTTTCTGATGAGGCATTCTCATTTCTAAGGGCTGTGTGTGCATTTGGTGTAACCCCATGCTTATGCAATGATGGCTCGTGGCAGGGCTCTGACTAAAGTGAGATGCTTGGTAACTCTCTCTTCCAACTATGAGGCTGTTCATGTGGATCTCCTGCCGTGACACGGCACGTTTGGGGCATGCAAACTTTTCCCAACATCATGTCCCTTTGCTGCAGTGCCTAGTAATGCTGAGGCAAAATGAGATGAGCTGAAATTATGCCAATAAATGTTGTGATTGGGCAGTCCAGCGTGCTACAGAGGCAGAGACACCATCACCTACCTTCCAACTCATGCAGACAAGTCACCTCAGGCACTTGCAGGTCCCTCCCAGAAGCTGGGAGGTTTTCCAATCATCCTGGTTCCAAAGAGTCTCCTGGATTCTCTGTTCAAACACATTGAAGGCTGCAGGCTGTGGCTTCAGCTCATCAGGTACAATCACGAGCTGTAATGAGGAGAGGAGCCCTGGAGAAGCTTTGTAAGGACTTGATGTGCTCCAAGACAGGATGTCCCCACTGGTGCAGGACAGACCTGGCAGTCAGGCTTACCTGGGGATGGTAAGGAGCAGAGCTGTTCCTCACCAAGGTGTGAGCAGGGACAGATGGGTGTAGCTGTGACCACGCTGCAGGTCCAGTGCAGCCTTCTTCAGGGACACCAGCACCTTCAGAAGGAGAACAGCTCTGATGGAGTTGAGCAGCTGGATCAAAGGTGTGCAAAGTCCCAGGGAGTCATGGAAGTTCACCTGATGCTGCTGAGGAGTCATCTGGAAAGTGCACACAGCCTGACAGTGCAGCTGGTTAGAAGAAGACACAGAGAGGTGAGCAGATGCTGGGCTGAGACCACTGTCTAAGCCCAGCTCAGCAAAGCTCAGCAAAGGATGCCATGAGGAGAACCACAGCCCAGCCTAGTCACTGGTGATCACTGTCCTGGGGAGCACAGACCTGCCCAGAGTGCTGCAAACCACTGCTCCTTCCTAATTTCATGGTTACAGGGAATTACATCCCAGAGCAGACAACTCTCACCCTCCTGGCACCTCAGGAACACAAACTGCTGTCACCAGAGGTGACTAGAGGGGCCAGCAGCCCTTTGATCTCCTCTCTGCACTCCACAGACCATCGAGTTCAACATCTCCCCACCTGCTCACCAGGCCAGCTGGCTGCAGGACCATTGCTTGCCCTGGGCCACGGTCTTCACATGAGACTTGCATCCACCTGGAGGTAGGAAAACGTGGAAGGAGGAAAACCAGGAGCAGATGCCAGCGTTCCTGCAGGAGTCAGGATTTCCTTGGGGGAATCTCAGCTGGAGACAGGGAGATTTTCCAAGATATCAAAGGCTGGGATCCTCCAAGGCATTTAGGTGCCTTTGAAACTGTCTGCTCAGATGTTTTTAAAACTATTTTAGGCACTGTATAACCTGCTACACAGCTAGGAAATATTTGTAGGTAGGCAGATTGGATAGATAGATAGATAGATAGATAGATAGATAGATAGATAGATAGATAGATAGATAGATAGATAGATTGATTGATTTCTGAGGTGCTGTTCTGGTTTGCTGGATCAGAATCCCAGCCAGCCATGCTCTGCAGGCTGTTAGCAGTTTGGAGTCAGGGCAGCTGACCTGAGTTGGCTCCAGATTGGCTCCCAGACCAGAAACATCACGCTCAGTATAGAGGGGAAGTTTGCTGATGGTTAGGAGCTTTCTGCTTGGGTTCCTGCTACAGGTTCCTCCTGATCCTGCTCATCTACCTTCTCCTGCTCTTCAGGACTGCCCTCCTGTTTCTGGTGAGTGCTGTACCTTTGCTGAGCTGAGGATAACTCTGGTTCCTTTGTGTTGACACTGATATTAGTTTGGCTGTTTCATTAAATCCCTTTTTGTTTCAACCTGTGGGTCTCCTCTCCTTTTCCTGGTCCCACTTCTCTGCTGGGGAGGGGTCACTGGGTGACAGAGCAACTGCTGGAGTTTAGCTTTGAATATGGGCTAAATGTAGAGAGGTGTGTTAAGAGTGTGACCAGCAGGTTGAGGGAGGTTCTCCTCCCATCTGCTCTGCCTTAGTGAGGCCATCTCTGGAGTATTTGGTCCAGTTCTGGCCTCCCCAGTGCAAGAGAGACAAGGAGCTACTGGAGAGAGTCCAGCAGAGGCTGTGAAGAAGCTGAGGGACCTGGAGCATCTCTGTGCTGAGGAAAAGCTGAGAGCCCTGGGGCTGTTCAGCCTGGAGAAGAGAAGACTCAGAGGGGATCTGATCAGTGCTGATCACTCTCTAAAGGGTGGGGGTCAAGAGGCTGGGGCCAGACTCTTGTCAGTGGTGCCCAGTGACAGGACAAGGGGCACTGGGCACAAACTGGCACCCAGGGGGGTCCATCTGAACATGAGAAAAAACTTTTTCACTATTGTTTGCTGTGAGGGTGGCAGAGCCTGGAGCAGCTGCCCAGAGAGGCTGTGGAGTCTCCTGCTCTGGAGAGATCCCAAACCCACCTGGCCACAGGGATCCTGGGCACCCTGCTGTGGGTGCTGCTGCTTTAGCAGGGGGGTGGGACAAGATGCTCTCCAGAGCTCCCTTCCAACCCCACCATTCTGTGGTAGAATTTTCTCTTGGGTGTGGAAGTTTGTGTGGTCTGTAGCAAACCAAAGAGCTACAAGCAGAAACCAAGAGAGAGGCAGGCTCATCCCAGGAGTGACATGCAAGACTTAACTTTCCCTCAGAGGGTTTGGGGGTGTTTTTTGGGTGGGTTGGTTTGTTTTCCTTGCACAGAAATTGCTGCAGAAGCCTTGCAACAACCCAGACTATCCAGGAGCCTTTGGTACCACCAGCCTTGTGTGCTTGGTGGTGCTTCTTAATCCTGGTGCCTGAACTCTCTGGCACAGTTATTATTTAAAATTCTGAGAATTCCATTGCTGTGGAAAACCAAGCTCTCAAAACCTTTGGGGTTTTGTAGTTTGGGTTTTTTTACTAGCTCTACCTTGTGCTGATTTTTATAAAACAAGATCCCTGCCATGGATAATAGGCAGAAATCACACCAAAAAAA